ATCATAGAGTGCACGCAGTTGTGCAGGCCCTCAGGGGAGGACTGGCGCACAGCTAGGGAGACTGTCACCTTCGAAAGGACGGTATGGGCGATAGATTCGTTTGCTTCATACATAAGTCCAGGTCTGGACGGCGTATTTCCGGCCATGCTACAGCAGGGACGGAGTACGGTTGTTCCTCACGTGTTGAAGGTGTTTCGAGCATGTGTGGCCACGGGCTTCACACCTAGAAGCTGGCGGCAGGTTAAAGTGGTATTCATTCCTAAACCGGGCAGAGCTATATATACTAGCCCGAAGAATTTTCGTCCGATTACTCTTTCATCTTTTGTGCTTAAGACATTGGAAAGATAGTTGATAGATACTTAAGGGATGGCCCGCTGGAAAGGTGTGTCATTCATGCAAATCAGTTTGCATACCACGCTGGGAAATCGACTGATCTGGCCTTACACAATCTGGTCGGTAGGCTGGAGGAGAAGACTCTAGATCAGCGAGAAGTGGCGCTCGTGGCCTTTTTGGACAATGAAGGTGCATTTAATTGCACTACAACCGACTCTATCAGACATGCCTTGGTTAGGCACGGGGTTGGATCAATCCTAATAGATTGGGTCCTATCTACACTGAAGGGTCGGGTAGCAACAGTTATGCTGAAAATGACGTAAGCTGCAGTGTCAGCGTAGCTAGAGGCTGCCCTCAGGGCGCAGTTCTGTCACCCCTACTGTGGTGCATCGTGGTGAACGAACTCCTCGTTAGGCTCAGCAGTATGGGTGTCTACGTGCAAGCCTATGCTGATGACTTAAGCATAGTTTGGGGACGTTTTTGTAGAACAGTCTCTGAAATTATGCAGGGCGCTCTGCGCTCTGTGGAATCGTGGTGCAGGGAAGTCGATCTTTCTGTCAATGTTGGAAAGACCGAGCTGATCCTACTCACCAGGAGAAGAAGGCTTGACGGGCTGTTCATGCCTACCTTCTTTGGGACAAGATTAATTCTACCCCAATCAGTGAAATATATGGGAATTATCCTAGATTGCAAACTGAACTGGAGAGAGCATGTTGAATACAAGGTTAGCAAGGTTCGCAATTCATTGTGGGCCTGTAGACGTGTTATCGGTGTAAGGTGGGGGCTTAAACCCAAAGTGGTATATTGGCTCTACACGACGATAGTACGGCTCCCTGGTCTGGTGGCCTTGCATTAGAACTGAGACAACTAAGGCTAAACTCAATAAAATTCAGCGTTTGGCCTGTATTAGCATTACAAGCGCAGTGCGTACAACGCCATGGTATACTACAGGAATGTGAGGAATACGGACAGGGATGGATATAAAACGGCCCTGAAGAAAAACCTGCATTCATGTAGTAGGACCATAACAAATAAAGATCATGGCGGATAAGTTCAGCCTATTAGGAAAACTGACTACTCAAGGCGAAAAAATACAACCGGAGTACGCCTTGGTGGAATAACAATCTTAATAAGAAAAGGATAGAGGTTCGGAAAACCGGGTGAAACAGACCAGTATAGGTGGGCCTTAACCGACTATAATAAAGCGGTCCGCAAAGTCAAAACTGAGTCATGGAAAAGGTTCTGCGAGAATATATCAGATGCACCGAGCAGTGCTAGGGTCTACAAGATCCTCTCCAAGGATTGTGGACAGGAGCTGGGGTCGATCAAGCGACCAGACGGCACGTTCACAAAGTCCAGGGGAGAAACCTTGGAGACCCTTGCGCAAAACCACTTTCCAGGTAGTATAACATCTTAGCTGGCCAATTCCCGGAGAATCGGACGGATAAACGACCCCACAGGGGAGACTGGCAAGTTGTCAGAACAATCGTAACACCTGATGCGATTAATGGAGCGATAAAATCTCCAGGAGAGGGTGGCATATATCCAGCTCTACTACAAGTTGGATTGGATATATTGATGCCATTCCTCATATCACTCTACAGAGCCAGCCTAGCTTGGAATCACATACCACATAGCTGGAAGGTGACACGGGTAGTCTATATACCCAAATCTGTACTGACAGATCCAGTGGCGAAGTCACTCAGACCTCATTTCTGCCATGAAAAGGTTATTGATGAGTACATAAGGGGGGGGGGGCTCTGAAGAGGCATCCTCTAAGTGTGCAACAATATGCCTATCAGCCTGTTAAATCAACAGACCTTGCTCTCAACAACTTGGTTCCGAGCATCAAAGCATTCTTGGAAAACAAGGAAAATGCCATAGCGGCCTTTTTGGACATAGAGGGAGCATTTAACAATGCCTTACCAGAATCCATCTATGAATCAATCGCATGCAGGTTCAAGCATATACAATCTAGTCGTCCTAGTCAGAGTGAGATCTGGGAAACATATCTCGGGAACACTTCAGGAGGTGTTAACCGCAATAGCGGATTGGTGCGAAGGGGAAGGAATGTCAACCAACCCGAAAAAAATGGTCATCGTACCTTTCACCAGAGAGAAGACTGAAGAAGAGAAAACTGGATGGGTTTGAACGTCCGACAATCCAAGGTGAAAATGTACCGTTTGCAAAAGAGGCGAAATATCTAGGAATAATCCTAGATAAAACACTTAAACTGGAATTCGCATCTGGAAGCAGTCCTTAAGAAGGCAAGAATCTCGCTATGGAACTGCCGAAGGGTCTGTGGAAAGAACTGGGGAATGTAGCCCAAACAAATGTTTTGGCTTTATACCATGGTTATTAGACCTGTGATAACCTATGGATCTGTAGCTTGGTGGGGCAAGGTAGCACAAAGAACTGTCCAAGCCAAACTAAGTGCAATACAGAGAGAAGCTTGTATGTTGATCACTGGTGCCTTTCGTACCACACCAACTGCAGCTATGGTGGTGCTTCTTAATTTACCCCCCTTGCACATATACCTGGAAGTTGAGGCAAGAAGGACATCTTATAGACTACATCATGTGGCAAATGGTATAATGGACAATATCCCTATAGAGGAGACGGACATGCTGGTGGACTTACAAAACAACCACAGTCTGGGAATGCCTTCTGATATAATGCCAAAAATAACAAGATATGCTAGGCCCTACTCAGTGAAAATTCCACACAAGAATGAGTGGGAACAGCATGTTAACCTGATAAGGAAAGATGTCTGTGCATACACAGATGGCTACAAGACCGAGGTAGGTGTTGGAGCTGGTATCTAAAAATCTGTTAGCCTAGGAACCTGGGCATCGATCTTCCAGGCAGAGCTATATGCTATAGAACTGGGAACCAGAATGATCGCAGAACGACAACTGAGACACAGAACTAATAATTATTTTTTCAGATAGTCAAGCCGCAAGTCAACTTAGGGCACTTGAGTCCACCTACTTGACATCAAAATTAGTGTGGAGTTGCAAAGAAGCTCTCGATGGCAAAGGGGGGGGAAAATTAAGTCCGTCTCATATGGATACCAGAACAGACAGGTCTAGAGGGAAACGAGACAGCTGACACTCTGGCAAAGAGTGGGGCCTGAGCCAGTGATTGGGATCGCATACAATACGGCTAAACAAATAATCTCTGCAGAGATGGACAGAAAGATCCATCAATACTGAAAGGAATTAACAAGGTTAACCCATGCTAAGGCAACTATACCAATCTTGACAAAGAAGGTAACATGCTCTTTGCTATGGCTGAAAAGGAATAGCCTCAAAGCTCTAGTAGGACTGTACACTGGTCATTGCAAATTGTGTCACCACATGAGCAGGCTGGGCTTTACGGAAGACGCTGACTGCAGACTGTGCATGAAGGGAGATGAAATGGTCAGGCATGTATTGTGCAGATGCCCTGCAATTGCCAGAATCAGGTACAACATACTTGGAGACATGGTAGTCCAAGCAGAAGACCTGAAGAATAGTTCTCCAAACAAGTTAATCGACTTCCTTAGGAGAATGAAGCATTCACAAGGAACCTAACCTAACCTAGGCATACATATAATTACCGCGGTCACCTCGTATGCACCTCACGGGGTCCTATAACTATCGCTACGGCCACGGCGTATCGCAGACCATTTGTTCGGTCCGCTGTAACCTAGCGGCGCGTACGATGTGGAGCCACCTTTTGGAGCATACATGTTTTTGAATTGTGAATTTTGTCGAATCTGTTTACTATTGATTCCTGAGCGGTCCTAACGGAGCTCCATTTTAGATCGAAATGAAAGCTCAGGATCGCGCCTGAAATTGTGCAACATTGCATCATTGGTTTGTTTGATGACACTGCAGCTTGTACATTCCAAGGCAAAGTGTGTCCACCTCCATGAGCAGTTGTGCGATTTTGGTCAGTACCCAACTAGAGCTCGTCCTGCTTCGAAATGGCTTTCACCTGCATACACACTGGCAGTGATAATTTCTACTGTGGAATGTTACGAAAATGTAGCAATAACTTAGGATGTCTTGTTATTATCATAAATTCAGATAGTACAAAGAAACCACAAGAAAATTTTGCTAAAGAAAACCAGATCAGAGGTAATAGGTATGAGAAGTCGGCAAAAATGATGATGGCTTCCAAGTAGACAAACGTAAGAGGAGTAATAGACCACCTCGTAAAATAGGGAATAATCCAGATGGACAAGAGTTTGGATTCATTAGATCAGCACTAAATAAAGATACGAAAATCTGGATTTTCATTAAGCGTGTTAGTGACTCTACTAATACTGAAAACGTTAAGAGATTTATTGCAACAAAGACAAGTTCAGATGAAACAAAAATACAAACTAAAGAGGTTGCTACATATCGCAGCTCGAATAAAAAATGTTTTCTAGTTGGTGTTGAACAATTGCTCAAGGAGAAAGTGTATGAACCCAACTTCTGGCCTCAGGGAGTTACTTTTGAAAGGTTTAATTTTTTGAAAGGTCAGCGCTTTTTGGATGAAGACGCTTCTCATGATGCGCCAAAGGATTTTCACACATAAGAAAACTGCCAACACAGCTATTTAATGTTTCAAAGCATGTTTTACATAACCAAGATATCATATACCTCAAGATTGAAAGCTTATTACCAAAAATTGACATGATAAAAGCAGAAGTTATATGTTATAAGATAGCTATTCTTATACTTAGTGAGGCAAGAATTACCGAAGATATTGAGGATTCAAAGTTAACTATCAGAGGTTATCAACTAGTACGTTGTTATAGTAGCAGCAGGCATACAGGAGGAACTGTCTTTTATATTAGAGATGGAATGGAATAAAAAGTCAAAAGGAAAATCATTAGTCATCTGAATTATTGGTTTTGTTTTATTGATGTGATAGTGAGAGGTCAAAAGTGGATAATTGGTGGTAACTATCACTCTCCTAGTGCAAGTGATGCTGATTTTATTGATAAGTTGGAAGACGTTTTAGACGATTACTTCTCTGTGAGTAAATGCATTTTAGTAGGGGATATAAATATAGATTTTAAAGATGACAAGAATTTCTATACCAACAAAATTCAACGTTTATTTGAAGTTGATCAGTTGGTCACTGACTATACAAGGGTAACTGATATGAGCATGTCTTTGATAGATTATGTTGTTTCTAATCATGGGAACATTGAGACTAAGATGCATGATCAACCAAAGTTGTCGGATCATTCTGTTGTATCTGTTAATGTCTTTTCAAATATTGCTAGCAAAACAGTCAAAATGGTTGAAATAAGAAATTTAAAAGACGTGGAATTAATAAAAATAAACATAGACTTGTTGTTTTGTGACTGGTCAATAAATAGTATTAATGTCAATGAAATTTATGAGAATTTACGGGCGAATATAACTAAGGCAGTCAATGCAAATTCATCTAAGCTATCATTGTCAGTGAGAGGTGACCAGGTGCCCTACAAAGATATTGAACTCAAAAATAAAGCTAGGGAGCGAGATCTTGCCTACAAACAATTTAGGAAAAGTGGCCACCCAATTGACAAACATAATCAGTGGGAGAAATACAAGATGTTCAGAAATGAATATGTTAACTTGTTAAAAATGAAAAAAAGACAATATTTTGAAGAAAAAATTGATCACAATAAACATAACCCCAAAACTATGTGGAAAACATTGAAATCTTTAATAAAGCCGGTAGGAACTACTACTTTTGATAGAATAATTTTCTACCCGAATGACCAAAAAGTTATTTCCAGATGTGAAGTGGAAATAGCTGATAATTTCAACTTTTACTTCGTTAGCAGTATTTGTGACATTGTAAAAAGTATCCAGTCTGATATTATATATGTGGATAATGATTTATCTTGTGATGCAGTTACGTTCCTGAAATTTAGATCCATTTCATTCGATGAATTGAAAGAATTTATACTTTCATTTGAAAATAAAACATATGGTGAAGATATTTTGAATATTAAACTTGTTAAAAATACTTTGCACTCGATTAGTCATGTAATCTTGAATTTTATCAACACTTCACTAGCTTATGGAGTTTTCCCGGATGCATTAAAAGTAAGCACAGTTATGCCCATCCCTAAATTCCATAGAAGCATCTGATTTTAGACCTATAAATACTTTGCCACCTCTAGAAAAACTTTTGGAAACATGTGCCCATAAACAAATTGTTGAATATTTTGAAACCAATAATCTTCTCATGGCTAAGCAATCGGGCTTCAGAAAAGGTCACTCTTGGGAAACTGCTCTTCAAATTACAGTAACTGATTGGATGAAACTTATTGATGACTATAACTATGTAATTGCAGTCTTCCTTGATTTCAAAAGAACATTTGAAACAATAGATAGACGAATATTGATAGATAAATTAAAACAATGTGGAATTGGAGGCACTGTATTGAGATGGATAATTAGTTACTTGAGTGACAGAGGTCAAAGGACTTAGATTGGTTCTTCTATCTCCGAAACCATTTCTGTACGTTTTGGAGTTCCTCAGGATAGTGTTTTGGGGCCATTATTTTTATAATATATTTGAATGATATGGAACTTGTTCAGAGAAGTAGCTCTATAAATCTATTTGCCGATGACACACTTGTGTACTCAGCCTGCAAAAACCTGAATGAGGCTGTCGATATTGTGAACCGTGACCACGCAAATATTGATACATATCTGAAAATGAACAAATTTAAGTTGAACACTCAAAAGTCAAAAGCAATGCTAATATCAAGCAGAAGTAAAAACAAGAATATAATAAAAGCTAATATCCAAATTAAAATTGAAAAGACAGTTCTTGATATAGTTGATACAATGAAATACCTTGGATTTATGTTGGATAGAAACCTAAACTTTAACAGCCATAATGACTATATCATTAAGAGAATTTCAAAGAAACTTTATTTTTTTCAAGAGTTTCTAAACAGCTATCAAGAATTACGGTTTACAATACAATAATAATACCTCATTTTCAGTACTGGCCATCTTTATTATATTTCTTTAGCAAGAACAAAATAGGCACCTTACAAAAACTTCAAAATAGGGGAATGCGGATAATTTTACAGTGCTCTAGGTACACACGAATTGAATATATGCTGGATACTCTACAGTGGTTATCGGTGAATCAACATATTTATTTAACAACAATGCTATTTATTTATAAAATTGTGAAGGGAACATTACCTAATTATTTATGTGCTCATCTCTGCCAGAATAATGAGATCCATTCATATAACACTAGGAGATGTACTCATTTCCATGTAAATAAAACAAATATGGAGGCTGCTATCTCTTACTAACATGTGTTGTTACACACTTCTCTCTGAGACACATTGAACTCAAACAGACAGACAAATTTGGTTTTCCCTGTAAACACTTTGAGCTGCTATCCAGTGGATTTTGGTTCCTAAACTGCTCTAGAAAATGTGCATGAGAATACAAAATGCAGTAGAATGGTACTAGAGCTGAGCACTTTTTGAGTTACCCAAGTAAACCTATTTAGTCACTATACAGCTGCTCAGATATATTTGAGGGTAAGTTGGACATCCATATGGCACTAATTTAACTGACCTACAATACTTTAACCAAGAGCAAAGGTCCCATGTATAAAGGATCACATAATTGTAAGACTGAACATATAAATATCTTACCTGTGCAACATCATTGAGCAAAGCTACGGATGCTCCCAGACCTGTTCTCTTCTGTGGAAATCCCACATCCTCTTCGTCCTCATCTACTTCATCGTTTGCAGCGATGGACGTTACATATCCTTCGTACTTGCCTTTACCGGCGGTTTCATAGATCTCGCTATCGAAGTAGCCTCCTTCGCCTAGTTTAACCCCTTTTTCATTAGTCTCTGGTGGGATTTCCTTCTTTTTTGATTGGATCTCCCGGATTTGCGCCTCGATATCTGGAACAGACATCGTTGTAAATACTGTATTTGACCGTCATTTAATACATACCCTCGTGAGTCCGAGGAATGCCCTCCATAATAGACTGCGAGAACGTGTTTTAAATGTTTACAAAATATTTATTTGCGATGTTGATTCTGCAAAATTTATGGAATGTAGAATTAAACAACGATCATCACAGTATGTTTCTACCACAAAACATATAATGTGAGAACGCTTTCAACCATTTGTAGCAAAAAAGAATAAATCATATAATTCACTCCAGAATTTGGTAAAAATGTCAATAACAAACGCCACCTGTCAATGTTTTATTTTGCGGGCGACATCTATATAAGAACCCTATAGGCTCCATGATCCATGGTGAGAGCAATCGGGCTGCCACCGGTAAAATCTATAATTTTCGTGGTTTACAGTTTTACTTATTAGATGGAGAAACAGGAGATGGTCATGAGAGATCAATGGTCAATGGACATGGTCAATTGGTCAGGAGTCAGATGTCAGATCATGAGTAAATAATCAAATTCAAGCGGATAACCAAATGAAAATGGTATTTACCATTTTGGATTGCTATTTACCGATCCGTTCAAGCGAGTGTGGTTATCAGTTTGGTTATAAGATCCGTGACGTCATGAATCAGCTGTTATATATCATAGTTATCACCGCAAAATTGTGGTATTTACTAAACTCAGGAGTAGTTTTATATTTCTGGTTATTATTTGACATGTGACAAGTTAGAATTTTGCCGGCAGGCTTATTACCTAACTTCCAACCGACCGTCAACCGACTCGAGTTGGTCGATATAGTGGATACCAAATAAAACCCGATGCACGTCATCGATCTGAAGCTGTGCGCTGTTGCCAGAATTTGCACATTTTCTTTTAAGCAAATAAATTCAATAAAATAAATTGTTTATATATACCTACCATTTACTATAATACCATTATATTGAAAATAAATAAACTTGTTGTAAAATTAAATTCCTTTCTAAATAAAAACTCCTGATTTTGGTAGATATTCAATGATATGAGCTCTTTACACCGACTGGTAAGTTCTTTTGGCATTTTGGATACTTTACACCACTTCACAGTAACTGTTGTTCTGAAAAGAACAATTTTTAATTGGCAAGGCAACGATTCAAAGCTCAAATAGCGCAAAACTCACAAACTAAACAATAAAGAACTAATAGTACGACAAAAGGACAATGGCAACTGATGTCAACAAATGAGAAGTGGCAACCTCACATTTCTCTGCACGGCACTACCAACCGAATCGAGACGGGGAAATTTAAACTTCAAGTAGAAATGTCACATTGAATGTAGTCAACTGTTGGTAACCATGATTTTTATGAATGACATCACCTATGACGTGCATCGGATTTTATTTGGTATCCACTATAGTTGCTGTCAAACGCAAATTTCGTATTATGTATCAGTCAGTGACTCTCAATCGCCGACCGGATACGGTGGCGCCTCTATGGAGCAACTGGTGAACGAAAAGTGCATTCTTTTGTTAGGAGTATCAAAAAATTGGTATTCCCTAACTCATTGACAGCGACCCAACAACAACTTACTATACTACACGCCCTGTAAAAAGGGTTTTGACAACATTGTCACATTTGCGAGCTATAAGTTTTCTGAGATTTGTTGGCGAGAAAAAGTTTTTAAAAGATGGAAGTTGACCCAGGAGGATCAACAGACGACCCAGTTCCACATACTATGAGGAAAGAGCTGAGCGGTGGCGGAAACCAAGCAGAAGCAGAAAACATGAGCTCACTGACGCAGATATCATCGGAGCAGAAAACGATCGAAAAACTGATGCTGATTATAGACGGCCAGGCGAGGCAGATTCGAGACCTAATGGAGACCATCAAGGACCAGACAGCCAGAATTGACAGCCTTACCGCCCAGGTAACCATATTACTAAACTCAAAAGAATCCCCTAAAGAACGGACAAAGACCCTAAAAAGACCACTGAGAAACGTTACTGATGATCATCTCACATCCACAGACGAAGACGTACAGACTGAAGGATTTGTAAAAGCAAAATCAAGAAGGAGGAAAGGCGACAAGGCTGATCGATCAACCCAAGACTTTCCTCCTCTTCCGAATACAGGATCAATTCCATTTCACACCTCCCCCAATTCATAAAATCGAAACAATATTAATGCTTCTATTACCAAGCCAGGGACCACGTTATCTACTTGTCAGGTGACTCCGTCAGCCGATGTTACTTCTCCTCCGTCATCTCGTCCAACCGTCGTGGCATCAACACAACCTGCACGACAAGGGCGCATAACCCCGATCGTCTTACGCGACGGGACGAGATGGCGTACTTTAAATTTCAAGTTTATTTCCCTAGGTATTAAAATAGATCGCGCGGTTGCCGTCGATGCGGGAATAAGGATTATTCCTAAATCCGAGGACGACTACTGTAAGATCGTTCGCCTATTCCGAGAGGAAGAAGTGCCCCATCACACTTTTCCTCTCCCTTCGGAACGGAACATCCATGCGGTGGTTCGAGGAGTTCCCGTCAACTTTTCGGATACTGAGATTAAGGGAGAACTGGAGCAGAGGGGATATAGCCCTCTTCACATCATTCGATTGAAGCGCAGCGGCGGCACGCCCATGCCTTTGGTGGTCGTGATACTGCCCAAGACTGAAAAGTCTCAGCAAGTGTTCAACGAACACGAACTGCTGGGACTAGCCATTCGAGTTGAGGTTCAGAAGAACTCCAGACTCATTGGGCAGTGTCACCGCTGCCAAAAGTATGGGCATGCGCAGTCATATTGCACTGCACCGCCCAAATGCTTAAAATGTGCAAAGGACCACATGACGCATTTGTGCCCCCTCACAGAAGAGGAAGAACGCAAGTGCGCGAACTGTGGAGAGGGACATCCCGCAAATAGCCGGACTTGCAAGTTCACTCCAAGGAGGAACTTGCAAGTTATAGCGCAAAGGCGCAATATATCATACGCGGACGCAGCTCGGGAGGCAACCTTGCCTGCCCCCACTGCCCAACCTCCCTTGAGCACGCAAAATGTGGACCTGGCAACCGCGCTAAGGTCCTTACAACAAATAATAAGCCCACTGATTAACGCTACCCAAGCGTTGCAGGCGATATTTCCTGTAAATGTCTAGGTACAATAGTAGACAGCCTGCATTCATCAAAATTCTTTTTTGGAATTGTTTGGGCATGAGGGATATTCCTAAAAACGGGAATTTCATCAAGCTCTTTTGGATGAAGGTATAGATGTGGCCTTGCTGCAGGAAACGTTGCTTAATCCGGGAGATCGCTTAGCTCTCCCGAATTATGATGTTATCCGAGGTGACAGATTGAATGGTCGAGGCGGCGGTTTAGCAGTGTTGATTAAACGCGGTATAGACTATTATAGAAGCACTAATGCGGAGATGCATAGCATCGAAGAAGCTTCTGTGGGAGGTGTCTCGTTGAAGATCACATCGGTGTATGTCAGGTGTGGTGCCAGGCTACAAGAGGCGGATCTGGAGGTCCTTTAGGACTACTCGGGTCCGCTTATTGTGGCAGGGGACTTCAACTGCAAACATCGAGCATGGAATTTTAGGTTGAATTCCACTAGTGGGGTTCGATTGTACAACCATGTGATGCGAAATGGGTACCTTATACATAGCACTAAAGAGCCGACACATCATCCATTCAACCATCTTCAGGCACCAGATGTCATCGATTTCGCGATATCTAAAAATTGTAGATACAGTATCTCTTCTCGAATCTTGTATGATATCTCTAGTGACCATCTACCTGTTGTCATGGATGTGGGCAATGAGCAAACTTCTGAGGAGGCAACTCTTCCAAGGAAACGCATTGATTGGGACCTATACAAGTTGCCCCTTAGAGAGTTTCCCGACATCCCGATTATAGTTTCATTCAAGCAGCTCTACAGCGTGCAGCTGTATTTCCTGTACAACGACACGGCAGACCTTTTTTGCCTACGGACATTCGTCAGAAAATCTCTGACAAAAGAGCCGCTATTAAGCAGGCAAAAAGGTCTTGTCATCCTGATGACATTCGTAGGGCTACAAATCTTGTCCATGAAGTGAGAAACGCATTGCACGAACTCCGCAACGAGCAATGGAGCGACTTTCTGGCGGGAATGATTGATTCAAGTATTCCACTCTGGAGGGTCGCAAAGCCACTCAGAAACGGAAAGCGAGAACAACTCCCACACATCCACGGTCCTGAAGGCATAGTCTTCAGAACGGAGGATAAGGTCGAGGTTTTCTCTGATGCCATGGAAAAACAGTTCTCTCCCAACTATGATCTCGATAATGACCTCGACGAGGAACAGCACATCGTACGATCCGTCAGGAGATATTTTAGGGCCAACGGCGTCAGCGGAGGCATTGAATCCTCTTCAGATGGCTCTTCTTCAGAAGATTCGTCTGAGGCTCCACATAGCACATTAGCGGAACCCTCCGAGTTTCCACATCGCACACTAGCGGAGCTCCTAAGTCATATTAAAGACCTCAAGGTGCGTAAAGCACCTGGGGAGGATCAAATCACCAACAAGGCGTTGAAGCTGCTCTCGCCGAAAGCCCTGACATACTTGGTGACAATAATCAATGCGACGCTCAAAATCCAGCACTTCCCTGCTGGGTGGAAGACTGCTGAGGTCATCATGATTCCAAAGAAGGTGGGTTCGATATTTCCTCAGGATTACCGTCCCATAAGTCTGCTGTCAGCTCCTTCTAAGCTCGGCGAAAAGGTGATTTATCGTCACCTTGAGAATTTTTCGTCAAATCACCATGTGATTCCTGACGTCCAATTCGGTTTTCGGTCCGAGCATATCACCGAGCTACAGGCAGTCAGGCTGGTGGAGCATGTAACCAGAGGGTTCACCCTTAGCATGAGTACTGGCATCTTGCTTTTGGGTGTCTCAAAAGCCTTTGACAAGGTGTGGCACGCGGGCCTCCTCTATAAACTAATCCAAAAGGGTTTTCCTTTTTGGCTTCTAAAATTACTGAAATCCTTTCTTGAAGGAAGGAAGTTTCGGATCAAAATTAACAATGTTTTGTCAACAACACGGCCAGTACGGACCGGTGTTCCTCAGGGTTCGGTCCTAGGACCAATTCTTTATTCGCTTTTCATCCATGATGTCCCTTCCCCCAGAAACTGTGAAGTCTACCTCTATGCTGACGACACTGCACTTGTCGCCCAGTCGTGTACTGGTGATCTGGTTCACGATGGGTTGCAGAATGCGGTGGACGAAGTTCTAGAGTGGGCGGAACGGTGGCTGATAAAAATTAATCATTCGAAAACGCAGGCTATTTATTGTACCAAAAAACGTCGCGGCCCCCCAGCAGAGGTTTCTGTAGACGGAAATCGTGTACCATGGACAAATTCTGCCAAGTATCTCGGTGTCACCCCTGATAAAGGCATGACCTGGCAGAAACATACAGCATCCATAAAAACAAAATTCCAAATTGCGTTTCGGCAACTATATCCTTTGTTATGTAGATCCTCCAAATTGAGTTTGATAAACAAAGTTCGACTATATAAAATGATTATTAGACCAGCCATTACTTATGCATGTGCGGCTTGGTGTTTTCTTGCCAAGACACACATGCAAAGTCTTCAAGTACTGCAAAGCAGAACTTTGCGGACATTTTGCAACGCTCCATGGTATGTCTCAAATGAGACACTACACAGAGACCTTGACATTCCTTACTTGAGGGACTATGTCAAGCTTCAGACGCAGCGACGTTATAGTCAAGCGGAATCCCACAGCAACCCTCTGTTGCGTGACTCAGTGGACTACACAGTGGAGCAACTTCGTAAACATTCAAGGCCACGGCTCGCACTGTAATCAAAAGTTAGCGTGAATCTTTAGTAAACTCAAAATTACACTCTAACAAAACCGAATCAATAAAAATTTGTTTAGTTCACCTCAAAATTAATCCGTGTACCAAGTCAAAAAGCCTAGGTGTTTCCTCTTAAACTAAGCATATCTGTTTTTCTTTGCTCTTCTCCTTTTTTCTTCTCTTTCCCTTTCCCTTGACTTTTTCTGGTTTCTGGGCAACCAGGACTGACAGATTCGACTAACGTACATCAGACAGTGACTAATGGGCAAAGGTCCTACGGACCGCCCAGACAAATAAATGACGAATAGTTAGTTAACTTACTATAAAATTTCCAACTCTGATCGGTGAGCAACCGACCACCAACCGACTTGCGACCGATTGTCGACCGACCGAAAAATTCGTATTCGCTAACGCAGTTGGCAACCGCAGGCTTATTACCTAACTTCCAACCGACCGTCAACCGACTGAAGTTGGTAGATAGTTGCTGTCAAACGCAAATTTCGTATTATGTATCAGTCAGTGCGTCTCAATCGCCGACCGGCTACGGTGGCGCCTCTATGGAGCAACTGGTGAACGAAAAGTGCATTCTTTTGTTAGGAGTATAAAAAAATTGGTATTCCCTAACTCATTAGAGAGATATTGCATATGGACCTAAATAAGGGTATGCATTATTTAGGTGAACCTAAATAAGTACAGTGGAATTAGAGATATTGCACATGTAACGTATTTTGACAGTTCGCTTTGATGGTGTTTATCTTAACCTCACTTTTCCTTCCAGTTTTTGCTTGCATAATATAGGTGGTTCGTAGTTGAAATTCTACCAAAGGTGTGAGAAGTGAGATTGTAAAATGGAAGCTGAATTGGAAGCAGTTATATTGGCAGGAGCAGATGAGGAGGAAATAGAACATATCATCCTCCATAATATATTTATTGATAGAGGCATTACTCATACAGCACAATTCAACTTGGAAAACTTGCCAGATGAAGTAATAAGACTAAATTTTCGATTTGAGAGGTCTGACCTTCATAGGCTGATGGCTGTTTTACGAATACCTTCAGAAATTGTCACTATCACACGTAATAAAGTGGATGGTATGATTTTGTTTAAATATTTATTGCTATATGTTCATCATTTCAATCGAACTCCATCCTCTGACTCAAACAACACTTGCCAGAGGCTGGAATTCTATCAACATGAAAACCACAGTATAAGTTCCATTTATCTTCTTTCAGGTTTAACAGCATTGTGCATTCTACTAAGACGGCTGGCATATCCAAACAGATTGTGTGATATGGTCCCTATGTTCCACTTGTCAACTCAGTCTTTGTCACAAATCATAAATAAATTGATAAGTGTGATTATGGAGGAGCATGCTGTACTTCTCAACAATTTGAATTCATTGCAGTGGTTTAATAGGGAGAAGTTGGAGTATTATGCACAGGTATTGTATTGTGTAATATAGTTGAAGTGATGGTTGGTTCATAAAATGCTGAAATGTGCTTTTTGTAGGCTATTCATAATAAAGGAGCACCTATGAATAATTGTTGGGGTTTCATCGATGGTACAGCAAGGAAAATTTGTCGACCCTCTGAAAATCAAGAAGAGTATTATTCAGGACACAAAAGGTATCACTGCATAAAATTCCAATCAATAATTTGTCCTGATGGAATTATTGTTAGTTTGAAAGGCGCATATCCGGGAAGAAGGCATGATGCCAGAATATTTAGGGAGTCAGGTATCTCTGAAGAATTAGTGCAAAAGACATGTTTTGACACAAGACGATTTGTTTTATTTGGTGATCAAGGATATGGGCTGAGTGATGTGCTATTTACCCCATTTCATGGCAGAATGGAAGATTTACCTGCCCATCAGCAGAGTTTCAATTCTGCTATGAAAGTTCTAAGGATAGCAGTAGAATGGGGTTTTCAGAAAGTCATATCAGAATTTGCCTTTGTAGATTTTTCAAAAAACCAAAAAATGCTACTTCAAGACGTTGATGCTTTATACAAGGTGGCTGTACTACTTACTAACTGCCATACATGCCTGTATAGTAGTCAGACTGCTATGTATTTCAATACAAATCCACCTTCACTTGAGACCTACATAGGCCACTGATAAATAGAGGACATTTTGGGTTTGAAATACTCGTTTGCTTTCCATCGCCGCAGCCAAGACCAACCGCAGACAGCGCTGTTTCGGGCTCTTTAGCCCTCATCAGTATGGTATAGGTCTGTATCAGGTCCAGCCGTGAAGGCGGACAAATGGAAAGTAAACAAGCGAATGTGGTCTATCAAATAGCGGGAAGACGGTAAATGTAAAAGATGGCTCGCGCCATCTAAATTTCGCTAGAACTAGTTTCTTTGCAATGGAAAGCAAACGAGTATATCAGACTATATTATTGCATGTTCTGCAGAAAATGCTATTGTTAGTTTGTCCTGTGAACGCCTTGCGTTACGACTCTGGTGGCCGGCTACTGTTGGTTGGTACCGGGGTATCTGTACTCTGTACAATTCATCTGAGTCAGCGACCAGAAATCGTAAGGGGTTTCTGCTTTGCCTGCGTCGTCATTGACGAAACTTGCAAAGAAACTATCTCTAGCGCAAATTTAGATGGCGCTAGCCATCTTTTACATCTAAATTTTGGGTTGTTTCTAACTTGTAACGCTTGATGATAATTTGTAATTTTTTATAGACTTGTAAGACCAATAAAGCTTGTTTGGAATGTATGTTTATTTATTTTACAACCATAAGGGCAGCAAGCACCCAATAAGAGATTTCAAAACTAAATTAGTATGTTGCTGAAAATATATGAAATCAACTTCTTCAGGAGTTGTGGATGAAATATGTTTGATCCTGAAGTTACACAGTTTTACTATGTTCATACATGGAACCAGTTGCAGAATCAATTTCATATATTTTCGGCAACAAACTTGGTTTGTGCTCACCATCCTTAGCATCAACATTATTATTTCAATATAAGGCCAGTATATTATTTTTTTAATGGCAAATTATCTATTATCAAGTTTTGTCAGTAATGCTTCAATAAGCTTTTGTTGTGTTTTGATGAGGTCACTCAAGTTTTTTCTTTCAGCGACATCTTGCTCAGATTTCTTTTGTTCTAACTCTATCCTATGTTTTTTTTCTTGAATTTCTGCCTCAAGCCTTTTAGACTCCAAGGCAAGTCTTGCTTTGTCATTTGCAATTTTTTCTTTTTCATTATCCATTTTTTGTTCTTCTAACTTGAGTTCTGCAGATCTTATTTCTCGTGATATTTCCGCTTTTTCTCGTAGGTAATCAAGGCCATTTTTTCTCAATGTTTTACTTTTGTTCATCCTTTTGGTACGGGGGGCTGTAATGATCGAAAAGTAAGTAACAGCAACAATAAACAAATGTATTTAATCTTGAACATGAAATGTAAGAGGTAGTTTTGAGCTTTCTGTTTTATAGGTAATGTATAACATACTAGAAACTACTTAATCTAGTAGTAGCCCTCTGAATGGGATGCCATGGCAATGCTATATACGCTGTAGTCATCTGGATCCACTATTTGGTTAGTCTGGCCTGTAAATAAAACCGCAGTGCTAAACAAAAGAAGTTCACTGACAGGTTAGTCATTGCACTGGCTTTTATCAAAGTATATAACATAAGTACCTACACATTTTATATCGAGCACTGGTTTTATTTACTGGTCATACTCCATAACCTGTGGATCTGTTTTAGTGTTTCTATTACTGAAGATTCAAGCAGTAATTCTAATCATTGTTTTACCTGATATCTGTTTTGCAGTTCCAACATCTTGTACAGATATCTGTTTTGCAGTTCCAACATCTTGTACAGATATCTGTTTTGCAGTTCCAACATCTTGTACAGATATCTGTTTTGCAGTTCCAACATCTTGTACAGATATCTGTTTTGCAGTTCCAACATCTTGTACAGACTTATTATTATTTTCTGTGTCAACGTCGACTGTAACACAAACACCTAAAACTGTGATAATATAGTAATATGTATAAAAAATGTTTAGAATAGTTATTTTACCGTAATCATGGTCGATTAAAGTGTCATCCACATCAGAAAAGGCCAGCAGTGCCATAGCCTCTCTTTCATTGCGTGTCTTTTCAATCATATCTTTCGCTTTGTTTTCCACTTTTTTCTTTTTTGCTGGTGTAGTTGAGCAGGTCTCTTTCATTAACTCGCTGGCTTCTTGGAGCATATGTTCTCTTTCATTATAGACTTCTTCTATGCCAGACCTGTCAAACACAAATGTTGTTTCACCAAGTCTTACATTAAGCATTCTCTTGTTATTAAAATACATGTAGGTACAGTGTGCTATCTTATACTTACTTGACTTTGCTGTTAACCTCCTTTTTGAGGAACAGCTCCAGAAGATGGTTCAGATGCTTTTTTATTGTTCTCAAAATAAATTCTTTTCCCGTAAGCTCTCGCAAGTTCTGTAAGATTGAGTCCCACTTCTCAGGAGAACGGATAGGGTTTTGTGCAATAAATTCACGCAGCAAAATCATTTCGTCGTCATACGTGAACCTTATTCTCTTTTTATCCATATTCATAGTTACCAAAACGCTTCAGCAATCGTTGAATTTTGAGAGTACAAATTTATAGGTTAAATAGGCTTGCGACGACACCCGATTTGCTTAGATCGTGAATCGTCGTGACATAAGAACGCCTAAATAAGCTCCCCCTATTATAGCTTAAATAAGGACGTGCCTTATCCCTATTAATTCCTCATAGATACAGAATTGTATGTGCGCATGCGTAGATGTCAAAATAAGGTCTGCACTAATAAGGCAGATGTTTGCAATATCTCCCTATTGACAGCGACCCAACAGCAACTTACTAGCGATTTGAACTGTCAAATTAACAACTGCTCTGTGGTAGTCGACTAGTCGGTTGCTAGTGTTTTGTTTTGATAAATTTGTCAAAACTATTCATTTTTTTAACAAGAAGTATAACAAGTTCAAATAAGGAATAAAATAGCTTGATGAGTCTAAGAAGTGATTGTATGCTCCCAATTTGTATTTTCAGCAATTTTGATTCTCTGGATGGCTCGTGCATTTTTACTTATGGAGCATTGGAAAGCGAAATAATGCACGATCAAAGACGGCAAACTTCTCGCCTACGATGTATTTTTCAGTATCTGTGACTTGAAGTTCATAATGATTATCAAATAAGCTTACTTGCACCTTCCTACCACAGTATAGAAACATATTGGTTTTAGGTATTAGCAGCACTTCTGGTGCTAGCTGCTGGTTCCTGCCAGAAACATATTGGCATGGGTTATTTACATGGGCTCAGTCAACCTAGTGTATCCAAAGCACTAAGGGAAATGGTGGATGCATTAAATCATTCAGACATTCTATCTAAGCACTGTTAGAGATTATAGTAATTATATTGCCATGCATATTAAGCAAGTGAGATAGCATATCAAAATTAAATGGTGGATCATTAACTGACAAACCAATGAGTTCAGCTACATCAAAAAGTTTCAACACATGGAAGTTTACATTACCTGATAAACATTCCATCGCTGTGGAAGTTGAAATTTCCTATTAACAAGAGTAATAAGTCAATATTCATTGATCCTAAGATCAATACCTCAGACTCATTATCTGTAAGATTAACAATACAGCAACAAATTCGAGTCTTAATATTTCACATATTTTAGGCAACATACCAATTTCAGCACTAATATTTACTTTGATTTTTTTTTACTTTAGTTGTAATTATTGTTATATGCCTGCTTGAAGATGAGTAATAATGAAAGATATATTTTTACAGGTGACTCTGGACATCCATTAAGAATCGGTCTTACCAGAAATACCATAGGGTGATGCACAGAAGTATTAAAATTTGTATTATCTATTGTATCAAACATTTTAAATTTCCATGAAATAATGTTCATTGTCATATGCTTAATGATAGCTCTGCTTTAAAAAGGTTTTATCAACCACTGTAAAGAAAAAGTTAATGTTTAGAGAATTAGTTTTCTAGGAGGGTTTATTTTCACGTGTCCATATTCAACAATATCTATTTTAGAGGATTTGGAACAAGCCTAAAAGTATGCTTTGAGTGAACATCAAGAAAAGTTGCAAAATGCATTTGTAACAAAAAGCACTGACTTTTTAAAATATAGTTATGAAACTGCTGACCTTTTTGTAATAGAACCCACAACTTTTTTATCAATTTAAGCATTAATGGTACTAAATACAATCGTAAAAATTTCAAAAAAAACTCTGTGCTCCACAATCACTCAAACAGCCTAGAACTTCGCCGCTTGTGAAGATTAGTACTAATCGCTAAATGTATTTCTAATGGGGACCAATTCTCTTTAGAAAATGTATCAAATGCACTTCTACAAATACAATTTTTTCAATGACACTCCTATTTTATTTTCGTCAATTTGTAAAGCAATTATTTTAAATACAATAAAAAAATCTTATTGTCTTAAAAATATGTTGAGAGACAAACTTTTTACTGTATTAAAGAGTTATAAATGATTTATGGATTGGAGGTGCCATTACAAAAAATAAGTCAGTGATTTTTATGAAATGATTTAAGAGAAGTAGTTTTAATACAAAAAAAATAGGGCACTGTTACACAACAGTGATAGGAATAATATAGTAAATTGATTTGTGCAAATATCTTTTATTAAAATGACAAAGATTAGGTCACACAAGTAAACAATAATCATAAAAATACTTTATCCTTTCTAAATTTCAATCAGGTTTGAAGTGTTTAGATGCTTGATCAAATTTCTTGTGAAATTTTTGAAGTTGCATTAATGCCGGCTCTGCCTGCATACAACTTTCGTGCACCCTGCCTAGCTATTTGTAATTCTATATCTGGTGGTGGCTCAACAGCTGAAGATGAAGGAGATAGTTCTGAAAATCAAAAAGCTTTTAATTAATATCTGAAGTTATGAAGCAATACCAAGTAGAAACTGAATTCATATGCAATTTTTCATTCTAAAACAAGATCATCACTAGTGAAAAATTAAAATAAAAAATTTGTATTTTTTTCATTTGAAGCTGAACTTTATACTTGTGATCAAGTATTAGAAGATGATGTGGAGTGCCAGGAAGTAAAATCAAATTAAATGTGGTTTAACTAAGTGGGCAATAGGGATAGAGAATATAAACTGATTTTTCATTAATTAAAATTAATCCCATTTAAAGTTATCCAGGAGTTATGTACTTACACTAAATGGAATTTGAAGTTCAGTATCTCCAAATACTGCTGCTGTTCCCAATATGGCTATATCTAATTCAGATAAGTTATCAACATTAGCACCCTCCACCAGTACCTGTAGCATCCTGCCTTAAATTGTGCAGCTCTAGATTGTATCCTATGTTTAACATCTATCCAATACTGTAAAAAAGTATTATTGTATTAGTACATGAATAAAACCATATGGAACAAAATGCGTTATTATAACCTACAGTACTAATGCAAGAAACCCCACAGAATCTGTGTAAACTATGTTGGCAAATATTAAAAGATGGTAGCAACTATTTGGAAAAATACAAACACATTGAATCAAACAAACTATTTTCTACCCGTAGAGTTTCATATAAAGTCTCATCTAATAAGAATTGAATTACTGAAAAAATGGATAAACGTCATCATTTCTCAAGTTACTTGAATAAAAAAAAAGTTTTGGATAAAATATTGTGAAAAGGTAGTCTTTGGGAACAATTGTGCTATTATACTGTTAAAGATAATTTTCTATTAATCAACATTGCATTTTTTCTTCTATGAAAAGTTCTACAACTTTTTTGAATTTATCTAATGAAAAGAGGGATACAACAGAATAATGACCATAGCAAAAGGTTGTAATCTGATAATGAAAAATAAGATTCAGCACAATTATAAAAATTATGAATTAGCGATGACAAAAGGATGAATAACAAAATGTAACATAAACTCACCCTTCTTCAGCATTGTCCATTTTTTGTAGCTCCAGATCCATGAGTATTCAGACATATCGCTAATTCGTCCCACTTTCTATTAATTGTCTCCTTTGATCTCCCTCCAAGCCCAACACTGTCCTTAGCTAATTTAGGATGAATTTCTGCAAAGGCATCGATTTGCAATGTTGAGATTATATTTCATTTTGAAAATTAACACAAACACCTCCTAGTCAGACAAAATCTCAAACACAAATAAACACTATGTTCACGTTTTCTGATGCATTTGCAGCCTTTAATGAACAAGCAGTCATCTAGAACTATATAGGTTACTGCCAGCAAGTGCTGATTGATTTAGATTTGAGAAACATCTGGTACTTGTCAATAAGCTGTTTTCACCCTCGCGTTATTTTGCATCGCTCTTTCTGTCTTGAGATAAGTCTTCAAGGTTAATCTATGTGAAACTGTGTCATCTATTTGTCGACAAATGACTGTGTGTATATATTAAGTGTGTATCAAGGGTCCACTCTTGACTTATGTAAACATCCATACATCTGCGGCTCACACAGACATTCATTTTTAAGAACAAACCATCGTATTATATACTTACGTGTTCAATTTTCAACAAAACTAGGTCCCATAGTTAATTTTAAATTCACAATCACGACCCACAATGTATTTATTTATTTTTCGATTTATAAACACGACGATTGTTTATCATATGTATGTCACTTTAGTTCCACCGGTTGCTACTCGATTGCTAGTGGCGCTGTTTCGGTCGCAAAAACTGCATTCAATGACAGTTGGGCAACCGGTCGCCAACTGCGTTAGCGAATACGAATTTTTCGGTCGGTCGCAAGTCGGTTGGTGGTCGGTTGCTCACCGATCAGAGTTGGAAATTTTTACGTAATAAGCCTGCCGTCCATTTGTATAATGAAACGATAATGCGGTCAACATACGACAAAGAGGTCCGACAGAGAGATGGAGCTAGTCAGGGCAAAAAGCGCGCGGACTTGAATGAATTGCATAGGAAACCGAGGATTCTTAGAGATTTAAAAGTTATTCAGGCAACTGGAACGAGATAAAATCCTGGAAAAGTAATTATAATTAAAAAACCAAGTTTATTTATTTATATATACATATGTATGAAACTTACAATAAATTTTCCTTTACACATTTGAAGATATAAAAATTAGTATTTAACATAAGTAATTAATAATTCAGGTAATACTATTAACTGAGCTGCAGATATTCTCTTCTCCTTAAGTAGTTCATCTACCAGACTAATCAGACTTTTTTTATTTCTTTGTCTACGAATTTTACACTGATTGTGCTTGTTAATTTTTTTGTACTTATGAACAGTTTCATGAGCAGTTTTCCAAAATCTCTTCCGACGCTGCACATTATTTAAATCAGAAATTTTGAAATCCCCAAAGTATACTGGTGATTTTCTGACCCTACAAACAAAAAGAGGTTGTAAAAATGAGAAACACAAAGTTCAATGACAATTACCTTAAATTGCATATGTTTGAAGGTTCACTTGATTCTAAAAATCCTAGTTTTTGTGTTACGTTTGATGGACCAGCTGCCAATATATTTCCATCATCAGCATGATCGCCATTTTCAGGTTCTTCTACTACTTCACCAATAGCCAAAGTTTATTCTAAAAATAATTACACCACTTCATCATTGTAAATATCTTTTTTAAAAGTAGAAAAGTTAAAACCTTAAGCTTAGACTGGGAATATTTTAAAGAACATACCTGTTGCTTTTGAGTTGGATTCTTCATGTTTTTTTTTCAAAACCCTTCGATAGCTAGGTTCTTTCTTGAGATGGGCTGGAAAATCAAACACAGATGGAACTGCCACCTTTTTTAGTACCTTATTCCCATGAACACTAACTTCATAATCCTCTGGAGTGAAATGCTTTTCACAAATTACCATTGTTGTACTGGGAGCAAAGTTTTCTCTTCTTATAGCATGTAACCACAACTTCCTCATGTTAGGATCTCTAGGTATCCTAAAAATCCAGATATTTCCTCGAATTACCGATTAACAGGTAATTCTCACACAAAAATGAATGAGATGATTAAAACCAACCTGTGAAACTTCATTTTCACATCTTTTCTGCGTCTATTGCAACAATTCACCGCACTGCAAGATTCAACCATTTTTAAACAAATATCACATAAAACAACAGCTCTTGAAGGCTGTCCGGCATAAAAATGTTTATAATAATTGTCGCAAACTATCATCTTTAACGTCACTAAAAACAAACATTCACCAAAAATCCTTAGAACATAATCAAATCCAAGCGAATAACCAAAATTTCTGTGTTATGTGCCGCGGTTATAATATGGTTCAAGATGACACACGGGTTGATGACGTCAGTTACACGAATCGCTTGAACGCGTTGGTTTTAACCTCTTAACCGAATATGACGAATATATTCGCCAAGTAATAAACCTTAGACGAGGAAAGAGAGAGGACACGCCATGTCCGCTTTAAAAGTGTGCCCAGTCAGACTCCAGGCTGTCAATCCAGGGGCGTATCGCCAGGGTTCAGTACCATCTTACAGAAATAAATTTTGCACTTGAGTGACGCTTAGTATTTGTCTATTTTATAGTTTCAATTTGAAATATCTAAAAAAAAAACGGAAGAAAAATGATACTTTCTTCGTAGAAAAAAGTAAATTTATTATATTATTATTTACAAAGTATATTTTTATCGGTAATTTCTAATACCACAGATTCAACAAGTTTTTTGATTAATCATTATTTTATAATAAAAATGAAATAGAACAAATCGAATGATCTATATTTTATTGTATAATACATTTTCTAGTTAATTTATGTGAAAGCATAACAACAGACTAAGTATTCCATAAAAATACTAAACACCCAATAAATATTGAGCAATATAACTAAAAAATAAATTATTTCATTTATGAAAGTGTCAAATCTCACGCAGAGTAGGTATATTCCCATTTTTTTTTATTAAAAATAAACATGTAGTTTACACAGAAACATTTATTGAGTATGACATAGCGTTATAATATTATGGTACTTTAATTATAATTATTACAGTGTAAATTTCACTTATTGGTAAACATGATTATAATCATATATGCCTTTATTGAGAGCATTGTTCAACATGAATAACATAACTTGAGTGTGTTGATTGTGATTTAAAAATAATATATAAGATATTTATTGTTATTTTATATTGAATATTTTTTTTTAATGAACATTCAGTATGAAGTGAGATATTTTATTGAAAATAATTAGAATCTATATAAAAATAAATAAATTCCAGTTTTTCTATAAATTCCCACTTAATGAAATTCCCATTGTCATCTATTAGTAGTTTTCTTTCCCCAAAAGCATTTCTTATTAATTTTATCATATGACTTGGATCATAAAAAACATAAATGTTGTTACCATCTAAAGAAAAATGTGTTTTTAATGAGTCATAAGAATTATTGGTTCCCAAAGTATTTGCCACTGCAATATTTGAAGGAGCACCATCAAATGTAAGCGATACAACTCGTGCTCCTGTAGCAGAAACTAATTGTATGCACTGTGAAACAAGTACACTTTTTTGATTTCCATTCAAATTATCTACAAGGAAATAGCCAACTGGCAGCTTCGAAGTTCCATTAATGTTAACAATTATCATAACAAATACCTCTTTGGCCATAAAGTTAGAATCATCTTCTAAATCAAGATGCTTCCGAATGGACATCTCATCTATAATGAGGCTTAATAGTACAGGCTTATCCGAATATTCTACATTTTTCTTCAAAACATTAATTGCCTCACTAGAGAAACTGGTTCAGCATTAATGGTCTTAAACCATTTTCCTATAGTGCTTCTATGGGGTAAACAGGTTTCAAAAGCATTTCGTACATAATCATATCCTCTTGGGGAGAAAAAACACAAAGTAATTGCAAACTTGCACAGTTCTGGAGAATACTGATGCTTTTTTCCCAACTTACGCTTTTGTAATTCTTTCGTAATTTCTGACATCTTTTCAAGCAGAACTGAGCTTTCACAAGATACCAAATTATTTTGTTTTAAGGCTTTCACTACTTGTTTGAGAGAAACAATATGTCTTTTCAGTCTTCTCACCCGCTGATTCAAAACTTTTATTTCTCTCGATTTCTCTTGGCTCTTTACCCTTTCTGCAAAAAGCTGTCTTCTAGGATGCTTCTTTCTGGGGGTGTCTGGATCTTCTTGGGGAGGATCATTTTTCCTAGATGTCGAAGCTGTAGGTGTAATAAGCTGTCTAGATCTTGGATGTGGTCTCTTTGTTACCTGCAATCAAATATATCTCAATTACATTAATAAGTCCTCAACTTAATTAGTATTTTCATTTTTATTTCAGATTATAGTAATTATTGGTAGAATTTCTCTGTAAACTGAGTAAATGAATAATTTGTTTTGTAAATTTCTTAATATGTTGGGTTAAGTGTTAAATTACCTTAGTCTGTAGGTGTTTTAGAAGTTCTTCAAAGATTGTAGGGACTGCATCATCCAAAAGAGAGGTTCTGTTTCCAACTTTGTAAAAAGCATGGATTTCAAAATGCTTTGAACAGATCCTACTATTTTTTGTGGGAAACCAGTCAGCTAGATGCATATTCTTCAGCCAGATAACATTTCTTGTTGGATCTTTAAGACGAAACCTGAAATACAATGACAACAATACTAAACTAACTTGATATTGAACATATTTGAAAATATAATAAATAAAAAAATATCACACCCGCCACTGGCAAATGACCGCCATTCAATCATAATAGTGATATAAAATTGATAAATTCAAACAAATCCTGAATGAAACACATGGCTATAACTAATTTAAATTATGCATTCAAGTGAAGTAGTACTTATATCACTGAAATAATATTGTTGCAGTCGTTTAAAATGGAGTTATAAAGTAATTAAGGTATTTACGTTATCAATACAACTAAAAAATTTACCTGTGAAAGGTTATTCCTGGCACTTTATTCTCACTGCGATTTTTGCAATCAAAAGCCGAGCACAACACCATTCTTATTGAATAAAAAAGTCGCAGTCTTTAATACACAATAGCACAGAAACACAGAAAAAAGGCTTGGAGTCGGTTTCAAGAATAGGACCCAAATAATGGCGTCTCTTCAATAAATGGGCACACTTACTGCGCCGGTCTGTGAATGCGCGTTACGAGTCCACTCTCTTTCCTCGTCTAAGTAATAAACTAACTTGGTTGGGTAGTACGAGTATATTCGCCTCACCTTTTTAAACGCCGCATTTCACGAATAATACGAATATAGTCGCTATTATGTTCTATGGAAATCCCCACTCTTCGCACGTTCGAAATGCGCCTGTTCCATCAGTGTTGACAGTTCATTGTCATCCAAACATTTTTCAGGATAAACAAGTAATATCAAAAATACTTTAATCCCAATTACTGTGCAAAAGTTCATTTTATTGTTCTAGTAACTGTATGTCCTCAATTACCTAACTGTCCAAAAACATTTGCTTGAGCACATTATCTACTCTAGTGTATACGTTTGTAAACGTTTTGATATCGTATTATTTTGTCTTCTACTTTGTACCTGATAAAGGGTCATAAATGCATGAGATAACACGTAGGCGAGGGGAGCATATTTAGAAATATTATTTCTATATAAATCATTACTCATATCATTGTCGACTAGTTAATAGCTACAAAGTTGTTTTGGTATTACATTTCACACCTTTTGTGCTCTACAATGGAGCAAGGAGGAGAATCTGAGGCCTTGTTCGAATCTAGAGACATAAAAATTCAACAAAAGCAATCTCCATACAGAGTAAGACATTCAATCTTCGTATACTAATTTCTGCTTGTTGATAATGAGTGTGTGCAGTCTGCTATTCTAATGCATCATTTCTTTTGTGAAGGCTGGTAATGATCCATTTCCACTTTTTCAGCAAATGAAGGTAATCCTAGGGATTTCAAGTTCCTCTCATAAGTTCTATTATTAATTTGAATGCAATAATGTTTTTAGATTGATGAGTGGATCAGTAGCTATCACATGTGAACTGCTACATAGCTTTTGAGTTCTGTTTAACAGTGTTTGATGGCAATTTTGTGTATCTTTTTTAACTGGACATATTACTGTTTATTACCAAAAAATAAAAAAGTTATTAATGTCTATCTATCCAACTTCTAATGCTTTATACCACAATTCAGGTAAGTGCAATGTGAGCAGGTTAATGAACCTTATTGCTAAAGTGTTCATTTTGATTGCACAGGGCTTTTTAATGTCTTGACCAAGAGTGTATTTTCCCATTTTTTCAATTGGAATAAGCCACTATCTCTTTATTTTTTGGAAACACTTAACCTCCCTGGTAATAAGCTAATTTTTATGATTATTATTGTATTATACGAGTATATTGATAAATTCTTAAGCTAATCTTTTCAAACTTCTCTTTATAATTCCTAATAATCAACAGGTCACAGATGAGGAGAATAAAATTTTTAAAAATGCAGAGCTATCTGAGATATAACATTTTAGTACTCATATAGTGAGTGTTTTCCAAGAAAGCTTACCTTGTATTTAGGAATACATTTCCATATATTTCTGAAGATAATTATCAATTATGGAGCGTTAGGAGCCCAGTCAGCACAGTGTTCATTGAGCACTTTCTATTAGTTGTAAAGTTTCTGGAGTTTCTCTGAGTTCATATCTCATTTCCACACTAAGTGCTGCATATTTTGTGATGTGGGCAATTTAAAACATTGCAAAAAAGGGTATTATCTATAAATTATACACACTTTGATAAGGTATTGGTCTTTATTAGCTTTTACCAAAACATTCAGTGTAGCCTTTGAGGTGATTTCATGTAAATACAATTCTCCAGTGTTACCAAGTATTTTTACAATAAAAGGATATTGTTGCTTCCAATTTTTGTACTACTAGGTAATTTTTTTTAGTATTTAGCACCCGTTTGCTTGGTTTAATGCTCAGTGTGTGGCAATGTGAATGGTTTTGGTGGTTTTTTGCTGTTGGATTTTTACTACTGTTTCATAATTCAGCTGCTTGTTTGAAGAAACAAATACAACCGTGATCAGTGAAATATAAGTGCTATGTAGAACCGACTAGGTACATCTATACATCCTAATTTTATTACATGAAAGATACTAACGCCATCTGTGAGACAGTAGCAAAACACAATAATGAACTTTTTATGTGCTGGAATACAGTATATGGTTGATTATCTTTACATATTTTATTCAATGGTAATATGTACTACATATTATGTTCAGGTAAAAACTATTCTTGCAATTTATTGCAGATTAAATGATATGTTTTAACACTGCATTCAAATACTAGGGTAGTCAATTAGTGCTAATGGGCACTGAGTTTAGAAGCTAGGGGACATGAGCCGAGTCTTTTACATTGATTAAAAATAAACTTTTCTATACTGGTTCGACCCAAAAATGAATGAGGACTCGAAAAGCAACAAAATGTAAACAATACATGGTTTGAAATTCTTCGTCCAATAACTATCGAGTTACGGTGTGCTGCATTCTTCTTCTTTGTCTTCTTGTGCGTTGTACTTATCCGCCGAAGTATATCTGTAACCTAATGGTTTCTCCTTGCATTCATCTTCACAAAGTAGCATCCAGTAGCAGCATCTTTAAGTATTCGATTATCAGGTAAATATTAAAAGTAGAATAGAGCGATACGTATGAGCTTCTGACAAGTTCGAAATACACATGCCGCGTACGTGGTTAACCCGCGGACAAACTATGTATTTTCTTTTACCTGGATATCGCATAGACGCGTTCTACCTACCAAAACTAATCAGTGCTAGATTGTAAGCCTATTCATCCTGATAGCAGAAAAAAAGTTTTTGGTACTAGCTATTTTATGTTCTCATCAATTCTCATATCATAGTGGAGTTGTAATGGTAGAATGGTACGTAAATACATACATATAATAAAATGGTTTAAAGTGAAATTTTCAGTTCTCATGAATATGATGGGCGCAAAAAGCCCGTTATTCTTTACCCACCTCTGTTGTGATATCTTTTTTAATGTTTACCAAGTTGCCGATCTTTTTATAAATACCTATGCAATGTTTGGCGCATTTTATCTTGATAATCAGGAGTCTCATGCACCACTGAATGTCCATCATTTTTTATGGATGCAATTTACCCGCCGGAAGTTGACACCCCTCTTTGCAGCACCCTCAATTATTTTCTGAGTTCTGTACTAGTTTCGAATAGTTCTAAACTTCTCACGGGAGTGCGAAAATAGTTATGCAGTTTTTTTTACGAAATTTAAAAAAGTTTTGGGGATGCTAACTTCACGCCGCACTTTTTTTTACGTGAGTTTTGCCAAATTTCGAAAATTAAAAACGGCATCTACCATCCACGAGACAATTTAGTAACATTTAGCGCACGGAAGTCCAGCACAGTAAGCCTCAAACATTCATGCAACCAGTGATTTTTAATAAATCCAAAACTGAAATTGGGGTTGCTATGACAGAAAAATACACTTAACTAAGGAAACGTAAACAAATATTCTAGCACAGCTCCCCTAAAATATCCTTAGCATAATATTCTGTATAATTTCAAAAGTAGAACTCGGGGATGCCATTAGCAAATATTACTCTTATTTGCGGAAAATGTCGAGAAGTAGCTTTGAAACTTTAAAAAAGTGAAAACGCAGATCTAATGCAGCACTCCCTAAAATATCTTTAGCATAATATTCTGTACAATATTAAAAGCAGAACTCAGGAGCTGTGCTAGAACTCCGCGCTTTTTTGCTTTTGTACAGCCTCAAGTGATTTGGTGAAATTTGTTTATGTTTTCTTAGTTGAGTGTAGTTTTCTCTATTAGCAACCCCAATTTCAGTTTTTGAAAATTATTAAAAATAATTGGTTGCATTGGTTGAATGAATGAGGCTTACTGTGCTGGAGTGCCGTGTATTTGTCGAATTTTCTGGCGTGGATGGTTGATGTTGATTTTTTTAATTTTCGTAATTTGGCAGAACTCTTGCTAAAACCTATTGAGAACTGTAGAACTATTCACTACCTTGTGACCCCATAGCTCAGAACTCTTGTTTTACGTAAACAGGGTGCGGCATGTAGTTAGCACTCCCAAAACTCTTTTTCAAAATTTCGAAATAAAAAACTGCAGAACTATTGTCGTACCCCCCTGAGAACTCTAGAACTATTCGAAAGTAGTTCAGAATAATGTGTGCTGCAAAAAGGGGTAGCAACTTCCGGCGGGTCTGCAATTTCTGTAGTTGAAAAGAGATTGAAGACTCCACATTTGGATACAGATACATACAGTGCTTTTAAAAAAGGTCCACTCTACTTATCTTTTAACGCGTCATGTTAACAAATTGAAATTTAGGAAAATAAGATGATGCGTTGATACTATATTTCAGCGTAAAAACGGAAGTTGAAATTTTCAAGATGCCGGCTGAGCGGCGCCTAAGAACATTTCTTAGAATGGAATTGGGATCATGTGATATCTTATTTTGAAGTTCCTTATTAGTGCTTTATAGCCCTGGAATATAAAATCACCATCCTTATAAATGGTTGACTAATAGGCTGTAAAAGTTGAGCGTTTCCGTATATTACGCTGACGCTACCGCAATCGCTGCATCGCGTCGGTGTGGGGGAACCTTAAGTCGCTTATTACTCAAGAACCAATTATCAAACTGTTAAAGTATGTCATATCAACTTTTTCTCTTGGAAGGATCTATTGGAATATGTAACAAAATCTGGACCATTCCATTTAATAAAATCGACAAACACCGTAATTTTACTTCCCACGCCTACAGGCGAAGAAGTATTGTAATGACGCAACATTTTTAAAATGAGATATTATATTTTTTGCATGTTATATGACATGTACATCACGAAAAGCTATGTCAACAGTCGCGTGTCGATACGTAGACCGTGGTCCGGCTGACGATCTTCCGCCGGAGTCGGCAGTCGCCTTCATGCTTTTGTGGACTGTATGCTGTAAAAGTTAGTATCGTCATCCACGTGGGATTAGTCATAGCAACGATCATGTGCGCCCACAGGAGTTTTTTTCAGGGGGAGAGGGAGAGTCATTTACTTTTTTGTTACACATTTTCGTAG